GTATTTAAGAAGTCTATCATTATACTGTTGCATTACTAAGGCTTGGACTCAACTGCTCCAAGGTAGGATCTTAGATTTTCTTGAAACCCAAATACTGGGATGATTATTTGTTGTTGTTAAGTGCCATCGAGTCAGTTCTGACCCATAGCGACCCTGTACAGGGTTTCCGAGGGTGTAAATCTTTACGGGATGATTATTTAGGCAACACTATAAAATTATTGAATGGTCACCCTCTGTCCGTTACAGTATCTGTTAATGACTGAGACAAGGGTCTTCTCAAGATTAAGAAAGAAGAATGCAAACAGTCACTTTCTGGCAATTAGTCTATAGGAAAAAGTACTATATCCCAAAACAAAGGAAGAAGCATGACTGCGCTCTGAAATGTAGCAAAATGATTATTATCTTTGCATGTAATCATAAGTGGATGGATTTGTTTTTACTTTTATTGTACCCTAAAACATGCAGGTATAATTTTAGGACCCCCAAAAGATAAAACTTTCTTTCCTCTTATAAAGAGATAATATTCCTAAAAGGAATATTCTGAACTTCTTTCTTACATATACATACCGGGTTGAGTAATTGAAGCACAAAGGGATTTGTACACATACATGGAATGGTTAAAGTGCATGGTGAAACAGCAAACAATATATTGAGATATGGAGATTTTAATTCTTGCTCTGTCATTGCTGATCTTGTATCAACATTCTTTTGTCCTGGTGTAGTGCTGTGGTCTAATGTGCTGCACAGCAAGATCGGTTTGAACTGCAAAGTCGGTGGGTTGAAAACTCACCAGCCGCTCCTCCGAAACCCTATACAGGGTAGCTATGAGTCTTTAAGGACTCATAAACGACTTAACTACTGTCTCTCTATAGACTTAGTGAAGTACACTAGGTGAGCCCTATTCCTCGTTTCTATTTGTCACCACATAAACTGCCTGAATTCACTCTTTCAGATGGAAATCTGACTCAAAATAGTAGATGTCTTTCTGGTGGCTGGGAGCTTGGAATTGAAATCTTAAAAACAAAACAAAACAAAAAAAAACTCACATTTACTGTTTTGTTTTTTTCTTTATGGACTAATCACCATAATCTTGCCAAAACTTTTTTAGATAAATTGGTGGTGGTGGTGGTGGTGGTGGTTATGTGTTGTGGAGTCGATTCCGACTCATAGCAACCCTGTACAGGGTTTCCGAGGCTGTAAATCTTTATGAGAGCAGAAAGCCCCATCTTTCTCCTGCGGAACAGCTCGCAGTTTTGAACTGCTGACTTTGCGGCTCACAGACCGATTCGTAACCACTCCGCTACCAGAGCTCCTTAGATAAATTGGTACCTGGTATTAATTCCTGGAGTCCTGGTGTGACGCTGGGGTTAATGCAGCTGCAAAGCCGTTTGAACTGCAAGGTCGGTGGTTCAAGCTCACCAGCTGCTTCTTGGAAACCCTATATAGGGTCGCTATGGGTCGGAATCAAATCGACGGCACTTAACAACAGCAAATTAATTCCTGCACAGTAGAAATTCAATAGATGTTACTTAAATTCCATTATGCTATTAATTTTTGATGTAAAGAAAAACTAATAAATATGTATATAATACATATATATGTATATGTATTATTTTTCACTTAGAAGATTGTGGGGAGGTTGGGGCAAGTGGAAAATTCACTCTCATTCCAGTAATGAAATCAGTTATTATTCAGATGAGTAAAGCAGGTGAAAGAAAATTGTTAGAAATGTTGTTGTTAAATTGTTGTTGGTTTGGTTCTGACTCAGCCACCCTGATTAGGGTTTCTGAGGAAGGGCTGGTGGGTTTGGACCATGTACTTTGAAGTTCAAACCAATCTTGTGGTCAAGTGCTTTATCCTACAATGCATCACCAAGACTCCTGTAGAAACATGTGACAGTGAAATTTAGAGGTAGTGTGAAAATAAAGAAACAAAGTCACATTATTGGATTCTCACTTGCTACTGGGAAAAGAGAGGAAAATGTAATTATTCAATCCCTGAAGTTGTGCCCAAATGATTTTCTAATTTATAAAAGTAGATAAAGGATGGCAGGTTTATTCAAAGAAGAAGAAAAGGTGTTCAGTGGTCACAACTCAGTGTAGTATCAAGAAAATAAATTAATAGTAGCATTAATCAACTTGCTGTGAAGACTTTTCTGAATAAAAGTGGTAGATACACCATTCTTAAATAAGTGTTTCATCAAGTAATTTTTCTTAAGCAATTAACAGTTACACCCTTATCCAAGCATTTTGAGACAAAATCTCTCAATCTTCACTTTTCAGCCCATTATAACCCAACTTCACACTCCTCTACATAATATATCTCTTTAAGGAGACCTTAACTTGAATTGGACTGAATTCTCCCTTACTGACTGTACCCTATGCATTCTGCAATTACATACCTGTAAGCTTTTGCTAATAAGGTTACACCATAAGCAATCTTATTTTTCTTTCTTGTTAAACAACAAATTAAAAAATTAAAGAGACCAATTTCTGTTTCTGTACAACTGTTTGCTCTTATCCAATGGATTGTAGTTTGTATCAGTACTATTTTCAATTTGGTTATCACTTTGTTGTTGTTGTTTAGTGTTTTCATGCTGGTTCTGACTCATAGCGATCCTCTATAAGGTTTCCGAGAAGCAGTTGGTGGGCTTGAACTATATACCTTGTAGTTTGTAGTCCAGTGCTGATCCTACAGCATCACACCAAGAGTCCGATAATCACTTTGTTGTTGGTGTTAAGTGCTGTTGAGTTGGTTCAGACTCACAGTGACCCTATATAGGATTTCCAAGCAGTTGCTGGTGAATTTGAACCACAGACCTTGGGGTTCACACGGACCTTGCAGTCCAGTGCATTATCCCACAGTGCCACACCAGGACTACAAACAAATTGTTGTGAAGTGCCATCGAGTTGGTTCCAACCCATAGCTACCCTGTATAGGGTTTTCAAGGAGCAGCAGGTGAATTTGATTCACTGACCTTGCAGTTCAATCAACTTTGCATTTTATTGTTCAAAGTTCCATGATTTAACGTTTTCTTGGTCTCTATCTCTTAACAACATCCAAAACACACTAATGCTTCTGAAAGCTGTAAGACTTAATAGAAGCAAACTGCTTCGTCTCCCTCCCATGGAACCACTGGTTGATGAAAACTTCCCAAGTTTCAGTTAGTAACTGAATATTTTAACCACTGTGTGACCAGGTATGCTTGGATGATGTTGTTGTTGCTATTGTTAAGAGCTGTTGATTCGGGTGTGACCCATAGCTGCCCTGTATAGGGTTTCCAAGGAGCAGCTGGTGAGCTTCAGCTATGACCTTGTAGTTCAAATGTCTTTATAGCCCGGTGCATTAACCCACAATACCACCCTGATGTTAGGCAGTGCTAAAGTACAAAACTTGCAGGCCTTACAGTATTTGCAGGCCTTACAGTGTCAAGGACTTCATTCTTCTTGAATCAGCTATCAACACTCATGGAAGCAGCAACCAAGAAATCAAACGACGTATTACATTGAGCAAGTCTGCTACACAAGACTTTTTTAAAGTGTTGTAGTGCCAAGATGTCAGCTTGAAAACTAAGGTGTGCCTGACCCAAACCATGGTATTTTCAATAACCTCTTATGCATGTGAAAGCTGGACAGTAAATAAGGAAGACCATAGAAGAATTGATGCATTTGAGTTATGGTGTTGGAGGAGATTACTGAAAGTGCCATGGGCTGCCAAAAGAACCAACAGATCCGTGTTGGAAGAAGTGCAGCCAGAATGCTCCTTGGAGGCCAAGATGGCCAAACTTCGTCTCTCATACTTTGAACATATTGTCAGGAGGGACCAGTTGCTGGAGAAGGATATCATGTTTGGTAATGTGAAGGGTCAGAGAAAAACAGGAAGACTCCCAATGAGATGGATTGGCCAAGTGACAGTGTTGATGGACTCACACATGGCAACAATAGTGAGGTTGTCCCAGGATTGGGCAGTGTTTACAACAGTATCAATCAAAAATACTACCATGACAATAAATCCAAAGCTCTCCTACGGAACAAATTTCATCATGGTCCTCATTAGAGATTTATGTTATTCCAAATTGTCTTGTGATAAGAAACAGGCTGCAAGTGTTTCCTTAAAGTGATCTATGTCAAAACCATGAACTCTTTTTGTTGCACATTTGACCACAAGGCAACGTTGTCCCTGATGCCTAATTCAGTTAGCAGTACTACCTGGTTAATCCTTTATGATCCAACCATTCACAAAGTTGTTTAATGAAAGCACTAGACAAAAATAGTTAAATATTCTCTGAACCCATAAACTCCATATGTTCAATCAGTTTATTAAACCAAATATGGACATCTTTGTACGATTTAACAATGCAATGTTGTTGTTAAGTGACATCAACTCGGTTCCGACCCATAGCAACTCTGTATAAGATTCCCTAGGAGTGTCTGGTGAGCTTGAACCACCCACCTTACAGTTCAAACCAACGTTGCATTTCAGTGCATTAACCCACAGCACCACACCAGGACTCCAGCAATGTAATGGTAGAAAGCAATTTAACTTTGATCAACTCATATATGTTGATTGCAAAAGAAAAAAAAAAAGGGGGGGAAAAAGCACAGATACTAATTTCAGGAAACTTTCAATCTAAGTGATAATATTAGATAATGTATATAAAACACAGCTCAGAATAAAAATAAAGCAAACTCTAAAACTTGGACACTATAAATTATGTTGTATATCATTCATATGTAGCCTAAAGTCTAACCGCAAGTATATGATGATCTTTTTACAAACTATGAAACTGAGTTAGCTAGGAGATTAATGTATAAATCCAATGTCATAGAGACAATTAATAGTGAAATCATAATTCAGAGTGATTCTGATACCAAAGCTGATATATTTTCCTTTGTTCCACTGCTTCTAATATACTATTCATAGTTGATTCTCCCTGAATTTTAGATTATTACTTAAATGACTAACTTTCTGCCTTGACATTCTAGGAGCCATTATGTGATATGAAAATGCAGAACTCCACTGACTTCATCCTATTGGGCCTTATCACCCATCCCATGTTCCCTGGGCTTATCTTCGCAGTTGTCTTCTCCATTTTTGTGGTGGCTGTAACAGCGAATGTGGTCATGATTCTGCTTATTCATGTGGACTCTCGTCTCCACACACCCATGTACTTCTTGCTCAGCCAACTCTCCATCATGGACACAGTGTACATCTGCATTACTGTCCCCAAGATGCTTCAAGACCTTCTGTCTAAGGAAAAGACTATCTCCTTCCTTGGCTGTGCAGTTCAGATATTTCTCTACCTTACACTAATTGGAGGGGAATTCTTCCTGCTGGGTCTTATGGCATATGACAGATATGTAGCTGTATGCAACCCCCTCCGGTACCCACTCCTCATGAACCGAAGAATTTGTTTGTATATGGTGGTGGGTTCCTGGGTTGGTGGATCTTTGGATGGATTTATGCTGACCCCTGTCACCATGAGTTTTCCCTACTGTAGGTCTCGAGAAATCAATCATTTTTTCTGTGAGATCCCAGCTGTGCTGAAGCTGTCATGTGTAGATACTTCTCTCTATGAGACCCTCATGTATTCCTGCTGTGTGCTGATGTTACTCATCCCTATATCCATCATTTCTGTCTCCTACACAAGAATTCTGATTACTGTCCATCGGATGAATTCTGCTGAGGGTCGACGCAAAGCCTTTGCTACATGTTCCTCCCATATCATGGTGGTGAGCATATTCTACGGGGCAGCCTTCTACACCAATGTGCTGCCCCATTCCTATCACACACCAGAGAAAGATAAAGTTGTTTCTGCCTTTTACACTATCCTCACACCCATGCTAAACCCACTCATTTACAGTTTGAGGAATAAAGATGTGGCAACAGCTTTCAGGAAAATGCTGGGTAGGTGCACGTCCTCCCAGAGAATCAGGGGAGAGAATATATCCAGGACATGCTAGAGGGCTCAAGTACAAACTCTGTTGCTGTTGCCAACTACACAGTCTTTTTTAAAAAAAATGTTTGTGGTTCTAAAGAAATGTTCAGTATCATTTGAATAATCTTGAAATATCAACAGGAAAAATCCTTGTATATAATCAAATATAATTTTTAAATTATAGCTAAAGACTGAAAAGTGTCGTGTTATTGTTATCAAGTGCTATCAAGTCAGTTCCTACTCATAGCCACCCTGTATAGGGTTTGCAAGGAGCAAATGGTGGGTTTGAACTGCTGATATTATATAGTTAACAGTCCATTGCTTATCCTACAGTGATGTACCAGGATACTGAAAGTGTCTTAGTAATAACCAAAATGCTTGTTTGGATCCATAGAAAAACATTCACATTCAGTGAACAGTACTATTTCTAATTCATCCCAGACAGGGAAAACATCACTTTAAAGTACTAAACAGATATTTTATGTTGTATGTGTTTATGTGTCTTTGTGTCTGTATTGTTGACTAACTTTTGAATGGAAAATTTACAGGGTCATGTGCCATGCCCTTGATAATCTAATTTCCAATATGCTGTACAAATATACTGTTTTCTAATGATAATGGCATAACTTTTTTATTAAAAAAGTGCCTATGAGTTGTTCTATGGGAGAAAGATGAGGCTTTCTGCTTCTGTAAAGATTTATAGCCCCAGAAACCCTGTACAAGGTTGCTATGAACCACCATTACCATGAGCATGATTAGAGTATATTTTTAGTTACCATTCAGAACACCTGTATTATTTCACCACTAAAATTAAATTATGCATTATCTGCTATGGTTTTGTGGCACGCTGGTGTTGTGCTGTGGGTTAATGCAGTGGACTGCAAAGTCGGTTTGCACCTCAAGGTGCACCAGTCATTCCTAGGAAACCCTATACAGGGTCGCTATGGGTCAGAAATGACTCCATGGCATTTAACAACAATAACAACTATGCTTTTATAAAACATTAAATCTCATTCTTGACTGATTGGAAATTGATTTCTGTGATTAAGATCAGTACGGTGCTGTAATTCTATAACAACTTATATTTAAGTATTAATAAATCTACCAACTACTCTTTGGAAACCTACACAGGTCCCCATGAGGCAAAACTGAGACTATGGTACACCACAAAAAACACTAACAAAGAAATAATAACCACTGTTGTTGCTAAGTGTCATCCTGTCAGTTCTAACTCATAGCAACCCTGTCTAGAGTTTCCGAGGAGCAGCTGGTAACTTTGAACTGTCAATGTTGCTGTTCGAAAAGACCTTGCAGTCCAGCACATTAACCTGCAGCATCACATCAAGACTCCAATAAATAAGCTTGTTGTTAAGTGTCGTGGAGTTTGTTCTGATCCATAGCGACCCTGGTTAGTGTCTTCTAGGAGCAGCTAGTGAGCTTGAACCATTGACTTTGTGGTTCAAAGCGACTTCAGAGTACAACACATTAATCCACAGTGCCAATTTCATGAGCAAATTTATCAGCATTGGGTTAAATTTCTCAATTTCCTTATTCTGAACTTCTCCATCTGATATTTGGGTAAACAAAGATTTATTTCCCAGATAGTTGGAATGAAATGTGGCAATTTGTTAGTAACTGAGAACTTGTATGCATATGCCTAAATTATTGACTAAACAAAAACCATACTGAGCCTTCTAATTGACTTGTTATCTCTATGTGTAGAACTGTAAAATATTATTAATAAAAGATAAGTTTAGATTCATTTCTTAGTTTTTTTTTTCTGTTAAAACAAGGCTTAGAAAAGAGAAACTTTGGACAATTTTAGTGATTTCAAATGTGACAAAGATTAGATGTTATTATATTTCATTATATTATTTTTGTATTACTTAGTCTACTGTCATCATAAATGGAAAATCCTTTTAGTCATCAATGGTGATTCCAGTTACAATGGTTTCACTTAAACTACTAACATCCCAAGCTGTTCTTACCTCATGAGATTCCTTAAAATCTTCATCTTTACTCTTAAAGAAGCAACTAAAAACCAACAGCAACAAAAAAGGGGGATAGAAGAATTACCTAGAAAATTGTATCTTTTCAACTGGAGAAACAGACACCAGGGTTGAGTTATAAAATATACTCATTGGCTTCTCTTCAATTTCATTCACTTTCTAATCTCTCTCTCTCTGTCTTTTTTTTTTTTTTTTAATGTTTTATTGTGAATTATGTGATAGTTTACATGGGTGAACATTAGTTTTACATTCATCCTATCGTATATCGTTT